TCTGACTCGCTGTAAATTCTTCCTTTTCAAGGCTCTGACCTTTCCTGGCTCTCCGTTTCCTTCTCCCTTTGTCCCCCAGGTTCGCGCCGGCTGCAGTGGCAGCCCCGGAGGGGACCCAAACGCGCTCTGGGTTCCAGGCTGGGGTTTTCCCTGGAGCCACGCCAGGCTCGGGAGCTCAGGAAAGGCAGCGAAGCCCAACTCAAACCGGGGACTGCCCCTTTTCATTATTATTATTTTATTTCATTTTGGCTAAACCGGTCCTTGTGACCCCTGCGATGGAATTGTCAGGGCTGACAGCTGCAGATGGATCGCTGCGGGCTGCGGAACAAGCGGGCTGTCTCTGGAGCTGACAGGTTTCACAGCTGTAGATCTCACCTCTTTGTCAGTCTCCTTTCTCCTCGCTCTCCCCCAGCCCACCCCGTGCTATCTTTTGATAAGCTATTCTCTCTGTGGATGACTCAGATGACCTCTGCCTCCCATCCTCCCGATTCACTGCCATGGTAACAATTACTCAAGCTTGTCCCCAGTCATAAACCCCATCAAAGCTTTGTTATCTACACAGAAACCCTCCTGGGAGACATGAATTCCCCCAGTGTTCCTTCCAGATCACCTGTAACAGAGCTTTTCTCATTCAGATCCTCTTCATCTTTTGGAAATGTGTCACTTGGCACCAGCCGCGCTTGGAATCTCGCTGCCTACACAGGGCTGTGGGCTGGCTGCTGCTGGGGGATGCATTCCAACCCAACGGGGATTGTGTCATCCCACAGGGAGGGAGGGATGGATGGCTAATAGATGATGGATGGATGATGGATGGATGGATGGATGGATGGATGGATGGATGGATGGATGGATGGATGGATGATGGATCGATGGAGGATGGATGGATGGATGATGGATGGATGATGGATGGATGATGGATGGATGGATGATGGATGGATGGATGATGGATGGATGGATGGATGGATGATGGATGGATGGATGGATGGATGGATGGATGGATGGATGGATGATGGATGGATGGATGATGGATGGATGATGGATGATGGATGGATGGATGGATGATGGATGGATGGATGATGGATGGATGATGGATGGATGGATGATGGATGGCTAATGGATGGATGGATGGATGGATGGATGGACGGATGATG